TATTGAGCACTCTTTCCTCAGGCACAGAGCAGGGGCTGTGAATTTATTAAGTGACTTGTCACCCAATCCTTGGGTAAAGATTATGCAATTAATGAAAAATAGACTTGTGGCAGCATCTGAAAAGGAGTCAAGTTCTGTTGATACACAGAGACTCTCAAACAAATTCTGCCACTAAGTTACTGACAATCCTCTTTAATTCCTTGGCTTTTTGTTTTCTTTGTAAGGGAAAGCTGGGGAACAGAGTGGGAAAAGAACAAAGGCCAGGGCTCAAAAGCTAAATCAATTAAACACTAATTACCCCAGTAACAATGCGCTGACAGTTCCTGAACCCCTTATGTATTTAACATACTTGATCTTGGCACTGCTAATAAAGTTAAATAAAGTTAAAGGAAGCAAGCTGTTGTCTTTTGCAATTCTGAATGATGCTTTTTAGAATTTCAGTGCTAATGTTTGTGTCAATTTAACAAGGTTTTTTTTTTATATAAAACAAAAAACAACCCAACCATTAAAAAATGTATTTTTATTTTTCTCTAAAAGCAAAATTCATGTACATGTTTTGCAATGGTTTTCATGAAGTCTAAAATATTGTTAACAGATGTGAACAGTCACATCACAGTAGTACAGAGCAGCCAGTGACGGAATTGAGAGGAAGTTTAACAATTAGTTCATTAAGTTGTCCCAAAGTTCGCTGACCCTATCTTTTTCTTCAGGACAAACACTAAAATCCCAACTAATTGATACAAGTTCCAGAGAGAATATATGGGGAGGGAATGAAACACAAAATATGATTCATGCCGCTAAGTTGCCTGCATTTTTATTTGTGGGAAGTATATATATTTTTTGTTGGTCAAATGTGTTTAAAAAATGTGATCCTGCCCAGAAAATTTAAAAAAACCCAACCCTATGCCATGTTAACTTCATCAGCTGAGACAAAAAAAAAATTGCCTTACAAAGGATGGACAAGTTTTGCTTTGCAAAATGAAACCAAGATCGCTATCTATTTGAAAGTTGTGAATAAGAATTTGGGCAAGTTGCTCAATATAAATATTTGTGTTATGTTCAAATGATCAGGAACAGAGTGGTGGTAAAATTCACTGCTGCAGTTAATGTTAATGCAGTTTTACCTATTTGCTGAAGTAGAGGATTTGAACCTACATACTGCTAACTTCACCCATCTCCATTTCAAAACAGAAACAAACTTGAGCCCTGATTCTATAAAAAAGTATGCATGTGGCTAATTTTGTACCTCTGTGTAATTCCACTGAAGTCAAGCCATTGGGATTATTCCTGGGCTTCAAGTTAGAAGTATGTGCAAGTATTTCTAGGACTGGCACTTCACATGATGCCACCACATTCTGAATGAGAAATAAAAGATCTCTTGAGAAGAAAGTCCAACCTTTTCACACTCTAGAGAGGTCATTACAATCACTTTAACTTTCAGTGCTATCAGTTAGACACAGTAGCATACAATTATAAAAATTCTGACCACTTTTTAAGAACTTAAATTTGCAGCCAGCCCAACTAGTTATACAGCAGTGTTAGCTACTGATTGAATTAACTCTAATTTGATAGCAGCCTTTATATACAACTATACCATTTTTATACAGAACAAAATGTAATAATTTTAATGCACTGCAAAAACATACATACAGTAGTATGATTCACATGTGCACAGAGTGAAGAGATATACATCAGTCAGCTATCCAGGTCGAGATATACATCCGGGCTGTCCTACTGGGAGTCTGCAGGTTGCATGTGGCCCGTGAGAAGTTAATGCACCGCCCTGTGCTCTCACTGAGCTGCTGCTTCCATCATCACTCTGACTGCAAGTCTCCAGGCTCTCACCTCCTTCCTCTGCCTTTGCTGCACAGAACAGGGATCTGAGGGTGAGCCTGGGACTGAGGGTGAGAAAGGGGACACACTGCAGCAGCTGGGGGGAAATCATTTCCATGGTGTGTCTGAGGCAGCCAGTATAGTGCGGAATGGGCTTAGAAGTTGGACAGCCCTGATATGCATGATTAGACGACTGACACACCAGTTGCTGATGAAGTCTTAAGAAAACTACAAAATTAAACTTACTCTGAATTCCTGGGCATGAAATCTAGAGTATAACCATTGCTGTCTAGGTCAGTTAGAATGGTCATTCAAAATGAATCTGGACTATCTGCATGTTCAAGTTAAACAATACGTATATTGATTTTTATGCAGTCCAAATAAAATTCTCCAGTGACTTCCAAACTTCTTGATAAGTTTATAATGAATAAAAAATGTGAGATCTGGCTCAGTTATGAAACCCTAGCCCTTAAACAACAAAACAAGGCCAATATTCTAGCTTTAATCAGTTATTTGCTTTGTTTTGATGTTTTTCTTCAATAATAATTAAAACTTAGATATAAAGGTATAAATTATAGGAATAAATTAACATTAGTAACTGTAAATAAAAATAAATAATTCCTAACCTACTTTTATTTAAAAATATTTTTAATTGCACAGTATTATAAGCATCCAGTAGTAAGGTAAGTCAACTGGGTATTTTTCTCAACATTTGGGATATGATGATAGCAGTGTGTCTAGTATTTCAATCCTAACAACTCAAAAATACCTTGTTCAAATGTTTAATGGATGAATGTTTTGGTAACTTCTTACTGTGGTGACCATGGGGGCTTTAAAAAAAAACTTCATATCTAACCTTTCTAGTCAAAGTTATCTACTTTCCTGACACGGAACCACAGGCTTTTCATTTTGACAAACACAAGGTGATTTTGGTTTCATCAAGATATTTGTTTTTTCCAGTGGTATTTTCCTTTTGCCCCTACTGCCAAATTCACCTCTCCTCCTCTCAGTTTAATTCATTTGTATCTTCTGTCACCAACCTCAACAGCCAACCCTTTCAGCTTTCAACTTTAAGTGTGTCACCCAATGGCATCTCTAGATCTGGACCACCTCCTGCATGCTTCAGTATTGCGTTTATAGTTTTGCTATTACAATAGGTAGTTGGGGAATGTTATATTCAGCCATACTGAATAAAAAAGGTTACTTGACAAAGAAAAGATCTTACCTCATAATACTAGCAGCAGCTGACAACTGGATTCAAGGATAAAAGGAAGAAATTTCTAAAGACAAAGCAGTGGTTAATACCATCACAACTTTGTTATAAAATATGGGCTAAATTCATTGCTGGTGTAATTCCACTCAAATCAGTGATGTTGTATCAGGAAAAAAATGCCTTTCCATGTTAAGCTCATTTAAAAGAGTATCTAGAGCAGGGGTCAGCAATGCTTTTGGGCAAAATACCAAAAACACCCACAACCTTGACTTGTAAGATGTTGGCACGCTGGGGTGGATGGTGGGGAAGCCCTGAGGGACCTGATCTTTGTTGTGGCAGTGCAGCTCCGGCCCCTTTCCCACTGTCCACCCTGAGGCGTGCATGCCAAGGAAAATGCCTTTGCATGCCACACTCTGGCACCCATGCCGGGGGTTGCCTTCCCGTGATCCAGAAAGACTTAATTAAAAACTGAATATGAAAGTGAAGCTAGTTATACAAAACAGCCACAAATGGAAATACTATGAAAATACAGATAGGTAAAAGTACTGTATATTTACAAACTATTACTTGTATACCCAATAACACTTTGGGTGTTGTATTTCAAATACTGAAGGCAAGGAGACATGTTACCCTCTTTTCAGTAATGGTGGAAGCCTCCATTTTCTGAAGCTGCTTTATCCAGGACTGAAAGCCATAATACTTCATTAGAGCAAAGGGAAAATCCTTAGCCCAGGCTTTTTTACTTTTTAAAATATAAATCACATTACTTTGCAGTTATATTAATTTATCTTCCATAAAACAATGTCAAGTCCCCAGTATTACCATTTTTTGCTTAATACTGGTGTCATCTTTTAGCTATTACATATCTAGCCTGATTTCTTCTCCTTGGAAGAGTTTACAAGGTACTGCTTACCTTCTCTGTTGCTTGCAACAAAGAAGGAAATACCAAAGACCTAATGTTTTGTCAGCAGTACCCTTTTCTTCATACAACATAACCAAGTTTGAATTGAACTGGAATATCATTGCACAATACTAAAATACTTGCCAAGTAACTTCTCATCTACCATTTTGTAAAGCATTTTAGCGCTGTAGTACAAAGCACATAGTTGGACAAATTGTTAAAATTCTAGCAATTAACTTATTCTAAATGATTAAATATACAAGGAAGCATTCAATGCTGATCGCTCGTATCTGTGCACTGCAGTATGCAGTCCCATGTGATACCTCTCACAGGAAGCCAAGCCTAATGATTTAACACTATAAGCCAAACTGCTACATGTATATATTAGGACATAACCTGATGCTCAAAAGATGAAATGCTTCTGTTACATATATATGTGTGTGTGTACAGGATATGTGTACACACACACACATGCACACACACTATATCTGCTCATGTTTAAAAGTACTCAAGTTTTTGCAGAAGTCAATTCTGACATAAAAAATAAAGTAGAAACTCATTAAAAACAAAACCCTACTATAATCATTGCAGTACTAAAATGGCTGCACCTACACTATGGTGTAGTATGCAAATGTAACTCAATTAAAAAAGTACAACTAAGATCATTTACTGTTTTTAGTTTCAGTGTCAGCAATGTATTGTCCTGTACTTTAAAACACATTCTAGAAAGAATGGCTGACAAAATCAAGGAAAATGGTAGTCACAGGTTTTCTCTCTCTAACCAGACAACCCAAGACAGCTTATGTACAACACCTCCTGTAATTGATACAAGGGACAGATGAATGAAGATCCCAAATCAAACCTGTGTAAAGTAAAAGCTGTGTAGAAGAACACTTCCTGAATTAAGTTTGCTGAACACGGTTCAGATTATTGGCTATGTCTATAAGCACAATGCTTTTTAGAAGCATTTACTGTGTACCCAAATCCTACTTTTCGCAACACATAGTGTTGCACAAGTAGTGAAATGTTTTCCTATTCAAAGGTGCTCGGACGTTCATTTCAGGCAGCATTTTACCTTTATTTTTAGTATGTTTACACTAGGTACAGTTAGTTTAGAAGGAAGAAAATGCCAATAGTTTTTTTTTAATATAATATATGAAACTGAGACAGACGCTTACCTAAATAAATAGCTGTATTTTTATTTGTCTAATCCTAGTATAGAGCTGAAATCTATTATGTCAAATAAGGGATAAAATGTTGCCCAAAAGTCTAATCATAGTTACACATTTGTGTTTTCATTAGATCTACAAATCAAAATAGTTCTCAGTTAAAAAGATACAATTTGTATCAACAGTAAAAGGTACCTTCTGGTTCTTCAGGGCCTTACTTTAAATTGCAGCAATTGTACTAAAATTATTAGCAGTGATTTGTAAACTAGTAAAATTTTAACACTGAACAACATTAAGCTGGAGGGAAACCTAAAATGATAGGAAACTGACTACAAGAATGTAAACAGAACTGTCATCATTTGCAAAATCTCCTTTTTTATATATATAAAAAGCGTGAGAGATGCTAGTAAAACCCATGACTTGAAACCAGAAATATCCCTTACTAGTGCTAGAACAGACTATTTTGTCCATTTCTAAACTACACTATTTGTGGCAAGACTGGGCCTACATAATACAACAGGCCAAAATCTAACTTCAGGAACATATACAGTATTTTACAAAAAAGTTTTTAAGTTATTATTTTCAGCTACGATATCATTACCATAGTGCAGTTAATAAAGTTGCATATCCTCAACACACAAAACTTTTTCGGGCCAGCCTTGATAAACAGTGAGAAAATCTAACAGTATCTTAAATACAAAACTTGCATTGAGAATAATTAGATTCATTTTAAAAACAGGTCAATATTTTATGAAAAACATGTTTTATCCAGTATACTTGTGCACCAGTACAAAGGGAAAAAGGACACAAAACAACTGAATGGAATCCTGAGGTCTCAGTTCCATTTCTACTGAGCAGAAATACACAAGACCTGGATCACAATGCATGTGAACGGAAACATTAGTGGCCTATTTTAGGACATTCTGAGCATCTGCAGCTTCTTTTGGAGTCTAAAGGAGTTCCATATGCTCAGCCTCTTTGACAACTAGGCCATCAGGCTTTTGCCTTATCCATAAAACAATGGACATGAGTTGCTTTCCTCTGATTGCATTTGCTTGTACTTAACTGCATCAACAAATTATTTAACTATTTTTTTAAAAGCAATGAAAAAAGTGCCATCCTATAAATTACTAATATATTGTTACCCATTTCAACATTAACTGGTAACTTAAGTTATTAAAAAATAAAGTCAGTGCTGTAGTAAATCTTTGTTTTCTATAAATAGGTGATTATAGCATAAAGAAGCCCACAAAAACAAAAAATAAAATAAGCAAACACTCCATCCACAACCTCAGTTGGGATAAAAAATTCAAATTAAGCTTGGCTTGAAAACTGTTTGCCATGTCTATTAAAATCCTTTTGACTTTCTGCAGCTTGCTTTAATGCCTCATAGCTGAAGGACAAACATACAGGAAGTTAAAACAAACAAAAACAAAAACAAACATGTAATACGAATAGAAAGTGCTGCATATAAACCCCTGATGCACCAAAGACTGTTACCAGAGACCAGAGATAATATATGTATATTCACTTAAGCTGGAAAGATTTTCAGCCATGAATATAGCCATTTAAAAACTTTTAAGTTAGAGTGTAAAACAAATCTGTTTTTTCCAGTGCACGGGGCTATACATACAGATTCCATGATACAGTATTTCACATAAATGGATTACTATATAACCTCCTTGCTGAGAAGGAGATCACAAATGCTATTGTAGCAAACCTCCCTCAGCATTAGAGCTGAACTGAAAACTACCAGACACCACAAAGATGCATCATCTCTCAATAACCTAGCTGGGATTTTTCCACTAAAATGGCTGCAGCAAGTTGCTGAGCATCTGTCATGTGAGGGTTCCTTTTCATAACAATTCTCACAAGATCAGAGGGGAAGATGTTGCACAGGTTTATATAAACTTTCTCCCGGGTGTCTTGATGCCTTGGAGGGTCTTGAGGGATTCCACAGTAAGGTATGCGCCAAGTCTGGTCTTGCTGCTCAGGTAAGCTTTGGAAGGCAAACTGTTCATAACATGGCTGTGTGGGATTACTAGGCAAGGAGTAAGTCTGGCGATAGCCATATGCATCAATCCCATAACTCTGCCTATCCCAACTTCCAAGCCCATCTTGGCCAGAATAAGGTTTCCTATGTCTTAGTGGAGAGTTATCATATAAGCGTGAGTCCGAGATGCTTTCTATTCTTGTGGACACAAGGGCTCTCCCCAGATGCATGGTCTTTGAATGTGGTGAACTCTGAGGAGCAGAATAGTCATTAGGACAACTAGAACGAGCACCCACTGCAGGGTGCTGCAGATGTACAGCCATGTATGGAATTGGAGGCTTTTGGTGATGCTTTGGTTCTTCATGACTGTAACTCTGCACTCGTGTTAAAGGATCGTGGTAGCTCTGTAGAAAGGGCTGTGAGTTAAGGCGGCCATGTGGGTGCATATGTTGGCACTTTAAGTTTTCTTCCAGTTGTGGGTCAGGTGAACTTACATAAGACCGATCATTGTAACCCACGTAGGAATCACTACTACCACAGCTCATACTACCTTCACTGCTACAGTCGGAGGCTACAGAGCTAATTCTATAATCTGTATCTAAGGAGAAACGCCTTTCAGGACTTCGTGGACCAGATATGCTTAAATTTGAATATGCATTCAGCATAGAGTAATAGCCTACATCCACAGGAGACTCACATTTTGGATACTGATCATAAGGCATAGGCGTTCCGTGATTTTTGGTTGCCATCATCATTGGAGCGTACTGTCCCTGCGGTCTTTGATCCTGAGATGGGAAATGAACTCCGGATGAAAGGCCATTGCTTAAAGGTGCGGTATTTTGGGGTTTTGCAGCAGAAGAATTCGGTATACTAACTAATGAAGGTACAGACCTGGTTTCCAATTTGTTTTTGGTGGGAAGCTTTTCCTCCAAGTCTTGATAGACTTGAGTCCTTATACTAGGATCCGATTGCCTCTTTGGAGCAGTACGTTTGAGATCAGAAGTGCCATCATTCTTAGTGCTACATGGAACACTGTTGCTTTTCACCAATCCTCCTTCACTTGCAGTTTTAGCAGCTGTGCTTCTGGACATGGCACGAAGTTCATCAGCTACAGACCGTTGAGGCTGATTTCCTCTTTCTGGATGATAGTATTTGCATTTATGCCCATAGGTACATTTCTTTCCTATTAACAGTCACATAAGTCAAAGTAAAGAAGAAAAGAAAGAAGTGTTCAGTAATGTAAACTAGAAGATCTCTAAACTGTAAAATTTTTGAGTGAGCAGAACAGATTTTAAAAGCACATGTCTGCATGTTCCTGAGGCAAAGCTTCCAAACCTGCCTTCCTGTGTTGTGGAGAAAAGGATTGCCATGTGCTGCACTTAGTGCTCTAGAACAGTGATGCTCAACCTTTTGCTTGCATGGGCCAGAGTGGCTTGAGGATGGTTCACAGGCTAGATCAAGCCCCACGAACAAGAATCAGGTGAAGAGCTGCAGGACTGGAGCCCGTACCACTTCCAGCCAGATCCTGGGTCCCTGGATTGGGCTCCAGGCCACCTCTGCAACATGCTGTCTAGCCCATGGGGCTCCCTATGGGTCTAGAAACTTGGCAGCAGGGTAGTGGCAATTGCTGCTACTACTCTCCCACTCTCGTATTTATGATCATCTCCTAAACAGTGTGGCAATACTAAACTGGTTTCCAATTGTGACTTCCAGTTTTTTACTGTAGTGCACTAAACCATTGTATTGTTCTTTTATCTTCCTAGCCCTCCAGAAGGTAATATTTTCACTACTTTTAAATAACATCCTCAGTTTTAAGTGTTTGGTTTGGTTCTATTGTAAATACAGGGAAATCTCTTCCACATGAAGCAAAACTGTGGCTGCATACAGACAGACCGCCTCACTGTTAGAGGTGATCAAACTGGAAGGGGAGGCATAAGCCACTGAACACCTGAACAGGAGGAGTCATTACATTATCAAGCAGGAGGCTCTCCTAGTTACTGAGGTCACTTGAAGGAGACATGATCAGTCAAGAAGTAATTAATGACTACTTTCTTCCATAATAATCTGGCATGCCCAGATGCTCACAGACATGCTCTACTTGGGGTACCCTTTTTTATAATGAAGCCTGGTCAAACAGATTAGATACCACAGGACTCCAAATCAGACTAAAAGCCCTTCTGGACCTCAGATACCTAGAAGTAGCTTGCCTTACAGGAGGAATATGGAATTACACTGAGTGTGATCACATCTCTGTATTGGCTGGTGCTCCCAGTAGTCAACAGACTTTTACTTACTGATGACTAATAAAGTGACTCCTTCAGAGTAGATACAGACAAATTCTTTAAATAACAAATGAATTAAACATGTCAGTTCTCATTGATTTAGTCAGGTTTGCATGAGTCATGGTAAAAAAAAACCCCAACTCTATGTAAACATCTCACTATTCTTGTCACAGGGATAAAGAAAAGAAGGAGTTCGCTTCATATCTTCCAATAGCAGAGTATGTAAATCAAATTACCATATGGACATGGTTGCTTCTTGTGTTCTGGAACAATTGGTTTCTTCCTAAGAAAATTGTCCAAACTTGGGCCATGACGGCCAAGGGGATCATCAGGAGGCATGAATCTATAACACATACCAAATTAAAATACAATAAAAACTGAGTTAACTTTATCAAGCAGCTTACAGAATTTCATAGTATTATCTTCAGCTACAATATTACTACCAGAGTATAGTTAACAAATGTTTCGTGTCCTTAGTATATAAAGACTTTGGGCAGAATTCCACTGGATACACCTACATGGCGATTACCCAGCTGCACACATGCCATTTTGGAACTTGCATTTTGGAGTTTGTGATTAAGCTCTTAATGCACTCTGGGTGTGCAAGTAGCCATACGGCTACTGAGTATGCTCAGTAGGACTGTACTCTAGCTAGGCTAGTAGATGGAACTATATCCTTGTAAGGCCAGGTGAAGACCTGAAATTATAGCTGCATAAAAACCCATGACATGATGGAGTGGGGGTAGGAGGAGGACCTTCCATCTTTTAATTCAATAGCCTAGTGGTTAGGACACTCACCAAGGAAGATCTAAGGTTCTCACATCTGCTCCCCAGTACAGTATTCTAACCACCTGGTCATATTAGTCATTATTCAGACCCCTTTCCAGCCCACCCCTTGAAGCTGGAAATCCAAGAGTGAGATATGTGGGGACAGGGGAAAGAGCATGAGCCAGAGGGTGTGTGGTTCCATGAGATGGATGGTTCTTTGGATTTAGGGGCCTGGACCCTTGCTTCTAATGGGGCAAAAGTGTGTCCACCCATTTTATCCAGTAAATATTAGATGCATCGTGCAGTGGCTCAGCTTCAAGTGGAGGACTAGAGAGGGGATTGGATAATGCCTAACCTGTGTTATAGTGGGTAGCAGGAGATGCAGGTTTCAACCCTCTCCAGATAAAGGGGGCCTAGAACCTGGGTCTTCACTTTCTGGGCACGTGTCCCAACCACTTGACCAGTGATTCTCAAATGTGGTGCCATGGCACCCTGGGGTGCCTTGAGATCCTTTTAAGGGTGCCATGGATTGCTGCACAAAGTTAGCACTGTTAAGTATACAGTATGATTTAGAAGATAAACCCAGAGATTTCAAATAGGAATCCACAGCATTAAAAACATTCTGATCTGAGTTCTCAGCAACAGAAGAATTGTTCTATTATTTTTCTGTAGTAAAAAAAACAAGTGAAAGCTAAGAGCTGGAATTTTTTGAAGGGAGTCTTTGGTCAATGGGAGGTGCCTTGAACTTAAAAATGTTGAGAACCACTACATTAGGCAACTGAGACATAACATGGAAGAGCCCTTCCTCATCTCTCTGGCAGCTTCAGAACAGTGGTGGGGTGCTTGAACTAAAGCTCATTGAACTTTAAGTCACAGTTTCAAATGTCAGCATCATCGAACAAGCTTTCGTTGAAGCAACCCCGGAGCCATTTTGAAGCATGGGATACTAAATACATATGATGCTGCAGGCACTTTAATTTAAAGCAGCTCTCAGAGCAGCTCTAATTAAAGCCCCCTGCCTCCCCTCCCAGCCCAGAGCATGTGTATAGATGCCCTTTGTGTTCTTGTTGCAACTACTCAAAGGAGAAGACTGCCCATTACAATAACCTGTTGCATGTATTCTATAGCGGTAAACACTGTCCAGAAAACGATATAGCAAAGAAAGTCTGTATATGCTGCAACTAAGAATTTGTCAAATCAGAATCAGCCAACAAATCAGCAAGTTCCAAACATACTGGAAAGTATCTTCCACACTATACCATCTCTCTAACAATGATGATTCCCAGGATATCCTCCAGAGCCATCTTGCAAGCTGTTTTACAGTTTGCAGGCCTGCAGAACATTTCCCAGCACAATCCTGCAGCCATAACTGTAGCCACAATTTTAAGCCTGGGTGCTTAAAAATAAGGCACTTCACCCAATTTTTAACAGTTAAACTGATGTGACTCAGCTGTCAGTGATGCTGAGCAATTCCTGCAGCCAGGGGAGTTCACATGAGCAGCAGGTGCTCAGCCTATTTGCAGTTTAGTCCCTGTCTATGTAGATGCCAAAATATAAATTAAGGAGCTTACTTTTACACGATTACATTTGAAACTGTGGCTTAAAGTGCCTTAAGAATCTTTGTTCCTCACAGAACTGCCTGGGTGTTTTATGACATGGCACACATGCAATGTACACAATAACTCAGCACTTTAGGGGAATTATATAAGCCCATTAGATAATTCAATCATTTTTCAGTCTTTGGGTTCTTCCAGGACAGGTAGAAAAGTTAAGGAATTCAAAAGGTTAGGGACTAACAAAATGATTGTTAATACTCTGGCAAAGAGCAATTTTCAAGGCTTTGATGATTAAGATCAGACTCAAAGCCTTTGATTTTCTTCATGGGTAACTAATAATGTTAACGGAAGCTAACTTGAACATAAACCTTTGCAGGAGCCTTTTCTCTATACATTTTTTAAGTGGTACAAAGTCAGGATTACTTACTTGTCATTGACAAATGAATACATCAGCAAACGTTCATCTATGAACTTCTTCCATTCTGGTTTTTCATTAGCTAGGTCCCTGTAGTTATCATTAGAAACAATGATACCATCTGACTCAAAAGCCAGCTTCACTATGAACCGGTCGTCATAGCATACCACCCTTCTCCCCTGCACACGACGGGACGGTGTGAACACCAAGATTTTCTCCTTTTCTAACTTACGCAAGATTTCCTGATCTAGAAGTAATAAGAAATGAGCAATGTTTTAATGTCTGCAGTGAACAAAAAACTCATTTGATCTAAAGATCTTAGGGTTGAGGCAGAAAATCAGTTCAGGTACAAAAAATGTCTTTTCACAAACTAACTATAATCCAGCAGAAAGAGTCTGATATTTTAAAATTAATATTTATCGATTGACCAGCAACATATTTATAAAGTAAATTAAAACTTCATATTGTTTTCATAGGACCAACACAGAGGCTTATGTTTTGTGATCACCTTGTTGGTTCTGCAGCAGTCAACAGATGCACTATTTCTCAAGTTGATAATTAAAAGTCCTGAACTACCCTGCTATCAGGAACAAATCCCACAGGATACAAACATACCTACCCTGCTGGGGTTAGGTGACTTTGGTGCAGTAGAGACCCCATCCTACTGCACTCAATGTTTCCGTATAACTAAATTGTTAAATCAAGAGAGAACTTTTCATCCTCACTGAGGCCAAGCTTCTGAAATAGCTCCACTAAAGAAGACTCCTTTTATAACAGGTGATTGAAAGATAGATAAGAAATTAGCAGAAAAGATTCTCCCCATCAGGAATCTCCAATTCTGGCTCACCTACTTTTCTAACCTGCAGAGTCTAATATTGCCTCCATCCCTAACAATCATGGATGCTAACAGTGCTCACATTAAAGAAATGGACTCTGGCTTCATCCTTGGGCCACACAGGATCAGACCAAATAAAAGCAAGAAAAGGCTAATCAGACAAATCAGCTAGTTACTATACAGTAAGGGCAGCAAAGATATGGCCCACAGGCTGGATCTGGCCCATGCAGCTGTTCCATTCAGTCCACCAGTGAATTTGGGCCAATGAATTTGGAAGCACAGCGCGGGGAGGGGGCTACCATGGAATTCAGGAGTCCTGTTGGACAACAGCATAGGCAGGGGGGCAGAGGAGGGCAAGTGAGCTGGGCTTGCTTATGCTGCCTCCACTGCAGCATGGTTCTGCTTGGCCCATAGTTGCTTGCTCCACCATCTCTGCTGCCACCGCTGCTGTTGCCACGTCAGCTTCTGCTGGTTCTGCTGTAGCCACTGGCCCCATGGATCCAGCCTGCAAAGAGCTGTAAGGTCTGGTCATGCCCAGGGAAAGTTTGACACCCTTGCTCCATAGGATTTATTTCCCTTCCTGGCCAAGAAATACCTTATTTTGTTTTAAAAAGTCAAATCAA